TCTATCTCTTGTATTCGGTTGGTGATGCTTGCGTCTGTGACTCCTGATCTCTTTCTTAGGTTTTCTATCTCCATGGTTGTCTCCCTTTGAACTTTCTTTATTGTTTCTATTTCTAGTTTCAGATCCTGAATGTTTTTGTTTAATTCCTTCTTTGTGTTTTCTTGCATTTCCTTAAGGGATTTCTGTGATTCCTCTTTAAGGGCTTCTATCTGTTTACTTGTACTCTCCTGTATTTCTTTAAGGGAGTTACTTAATTCCTTCTTATAATCCTCTATCATCATCATGAGAAGTGATTTTAATTCTGAATCCTGCTTTTCAGGTGTGATGGGGTGTTCAGGGCTTGCTATATTGGGAGAACTGGGCACTGATGATGCCAAGAAACTTTGGTTTGTGTTGCTTATGTTCTTGCGCTTGCCTTTCGCCATCTGGTTAACTCTAGTGGTACCTGCCATCACTGTGTAAAACTGGAGTCTGTATTTCCAGTTATCTTGCTTATTGCAGAGCTCCTCAGGGTCCAGAGGTCTCTGTGGTCTTATGCTCCTAATCTCCTGGGTGGAAGAACTCCTGGGACTCAGGCCACCTCTTGGATCTGGAAATCCTTCTGCTCTGAGTGCAGTGGGTCCTCGATGACTCAGGATTCAGTTTCAGCTGCTCTGAGTGCAGTGGCTCCTGGATGACTCAGGTTTCAGTTTCTCAACAGGACAGGAGCAGACTGACTCTGTGTCTGCTCCAGCCCAGAGGACCAGGCAGGGGCAGAAGGGAAGTGGAATTCCGGAGGGGCGGGGTTTGGGTAGATGCTGTGCCCTGGATGTCCCTGGCTCCCCGATGTATCTCTGGGGTTTAGGGAGTGAGATGGAGTTCTTACCAGCTGCTCTGAGTGCAGTGGCTCCAGGATGACTCAGGATTCAGTTTCTCAACAGAACAGGAGCAGACCGACTCTGTGTCTGCTCCAGCCCAGAGGACCAGGCAGGGGCGGAAGGGTGCAGTGTTCTTAATAACAGCATAGTGCATCTTGGGCACTAACTCATACACATGTGAAGCTTGTATTTCATTTATGTCATAACCATCACCCATTATGCTCACCTCCACGGTTAGGGTGTCTCCAGAATTCTTCATTCCATTCATGTGTGCAACTTTTCTAAGTTCCTTTAAGCCCTTCTGGGGTTTGTTGGTCACAATTAACCACTGAGCTGACTCTGAGAGCCACCTGTCAAGAAAGATGTTGGAGGTAGAAACAATTCTTGTGCAGTCATTTTACATACAAAATTTAACCTTCAAATTTTTGTTATTTAATTGAATACCTACAACATTATGATATATCAAACTCTACAATCTTTTGTCATCTAACTCCTTCATTAAATAATGCACTGAACTTCTGAAATGCATACCTAGATCCCCAGTGGGGATCTGTCTCCCTCTACCTGGATATACATTTGTAGTAGGGTTCATGGAACTAGACTACGAGGGATGCTTCCACAGACATATACCAACTTCCTTGTGTATAGGAAACACCATTTAATAATGTGTTCTTTTCTCTAAATGAAAAGCATTGTATAAATTTTGTATACTAATCACATCATCCAAATTACATTTATACCTTCATCTAATCAGCTGCGGACATATGGCCATGCAAAAAAGGTAAAAACTGGTCCTGCTTCTCATTTACATGTTGAAAGCAGCTGCATAAGGGCTGGGAACTTGTCCTAGCACTGGTTCTCTTTGGATGGCAGCTCAATGGGGTGGAGTTAAGGTGGAGGGACAAACATGGTTTTGTGAGAGTAAAAGTTGTTTAGTATAAATATTTACTCTCCTTGATTCATCATCCTGGGGCCAGAAGCCAATGGTTTCAGACAAATTAACACCTGTTGCTTAACAGCAGAGGATTAAGTAAAGGATTTATTGTTAGTTCTCCCTTCTCTGGCCAGGCAGCCAGGAGCCCCTCACTGATCATGTTGGTTAACTCTTTGTGAACCAGAGAAAAAGTGTCACTCACACAGAAAACACACAAACCAGAAGAAGTTGAAAATGGCTATATCACCTTCTTATTACTTGCTGTTAGCAATTTATAGACAAAAATTCTTTGTGTATAAAAGAATTACCTCATAGATAAATTGTTACAAATAAAAGAAAATAATTAGAATCCTTTCCGTGGTCAAGTATGCACAGATACACATATGTCCATACACACACCTTTTAGCAGGCCCAACCATCTTTCTCAATCAACTCCACAAGTGTTCATGCATGCTTACATATATACAGACAGACAGACAGACAGACAGATAGACATTCATTCATACATACATACATACACATATATATGAACAAATATATATTGATTGAATAGATGGATGGATGGATGGATGGATGGATGGATGGATGGGGCAGAGGCCCCCAAGACACCAAATTTATTTCTTTTCTCTAGTTCTTTTATGCATTCTAGACAAAGGTTCTTTAGAAAATTACCTCACAAATAAAATTTTACACAAAATGGAAGATACAAAAGGATGATGATATTAAGTTCAAAGCAATGTTTCATTCTATAAGCTAATTATAAGTTCAAAGCAACAGTTTCATCTAATTTTGTTTTATCATAGAGCACACCTATAGCTTCATCCTTGGATCTGACCTAGAATGAATGTTTTGCCTTGAACACATTTGTCCTAATCTTATCTCCCTTTTTAGTGTAATTATGAAAGCGCATTGTATTTCTATTATGCTGCCTTTACTTAATATTATGAGGAGTGGGCACATTCTATTTTTGATTTTAATTTTATTACATCTTTTTAGCAAAACGACTAAAACCATCCTTTAAAACTTTCTTTCTAAGATTATTTAAATCAAACAGGAACTCTATAAAATCTTTAATTCACCAAACAGCATTAACTCATGAAAGTTGATCTTTATGTTGATATTTAGGAAATCAGGTCAATAGGGTTAGTTGATGCCTAGAGATTGTTATGTTAATTTCATAATGACAGGAAAGGCACATAAGCAACAAGAAGCAATGCTGAGATAAAGTCTCTTTGACTTGCCTCTCAGAAATTACTCATCTCAGTCCATGCAAAAAAGTGGGCGACCTCCAGAAAGGCTATCTGCTAGTCTTAGCTTTTCATAGATGGTTCCTGACACATAATAATACTGATAGGCTGTGTGGGTGAAAAAAAAAATCTGTGGCACGTGAGTCTTTTGTACTTGTCTGTATAAACTTGTTTCTCTGTATTAAGTCTGTGGTCACTTTGTAGAGTCATTTCTGATCAAATATGCCTATCCTGATGGCCCTATTGTAGTAATTGTTAAGATTTTTTAAAAGGAGGTAAGGAAAGGGATCATGTTGGAATTTATCTTGTGTGTTGTGTATTCAGAATCTGAATATTGTGCCCCAGACCAGACTGTAACCTTATGTTAGGGCACAGTATTAACCAATGTACTGTAAAGAATTCTCCCCACTAATATATGATTGGTCAATAAGTGGCAGGGGCTTATGACTGGGCAGAAGAATAGGAAGGAAGGGCTTAGAATCAAGTGAGAGGTCTCAAGTGAGACCAGAAGGAAGGAAAGAAAAGACAAAAAGAGGAGGAAATTTTCATCAGACAGGATGGCCAAGAGAACTTCACCCTGAGGACAGGCAGATAGAGTAGAAGCCAAAGAGACATTAGATTGGCAAGTGATTTGGGTGGGTTTTAACAGGTGGAAGTATTGCAGTAGCTCAGAACCTCTCCAGCATAGTGCCTACAGCTTACTAATAAATTGTAAAAATGGTACAGGAGGAAGGAGGTTCCCTGCTGTGCACAAATGCTAGCAGAGCAATACCCATGCTGCTAAAATACTCTAACACCAGTGCTAAATAGACACTAGACCTCCCTACTCCTGTTACACTGGTGAATTGTAGCTCACAGTTAATTGTGCTCAAATGACATGAGTGGTAGCATAGTACTGTCATGGAAGCAGAGCTGGCCTACAAGGACTGCACCAAATGCAACAGAGCCCAGATTGGCATGCAACTTGGCTATCGACTGGCTCAACTGGTCAATTTCTGAGCTGCACTTCTCAAAGTGCTGAGGCTTTAAGTACCTCAAACACATGGAAGGTTTAAACCACAGCCCATTTGAAAAGGCACCATCTTCCCAGAGATGCAGATGGTCACAGGTGCTGACTCAGCCCAACAAAGCAAGATTGACAAAATATCCCAGGACTCAAATGGCTTCAAGCTGGTTTTTCCAGTTAAAGGAATTTTCCACCCCTCACTGTGAGCAAAAGAATAAGGACAAAACCAACCACTGGAGTGTCATGAAATGAACATCAGAGGGAGAAAGAGTACATACAAAGGAATCCAAACACAACAAAACTTCAGAAAAGGTAAAAATTCTGTTTTTAATGTTTAAAGGGAAAGAATAGGACATATTTCCTAGACATATATAAGTAGTTTGAAAATCATAGATTTGAGGGAATAGGGCATATGAAGATGGGACACACAATAACACAAGATTTTTAGAGATTGTATATTGCTTTCAAGAATGGATCAAGATTGGAAACAAAGGTGAGAGAGTTAGATGAACTGAATGAAACTGAAACATTACTGATTATGATTATTGCACGGATAATCTTCATTCTTATGCTCATAATCATTTTGTCTTCTGATGTCTTCTCAAAGAAAAGGGCTATAGAGAAACAGGAAAAGGAAAACTATGAAGGATGGACACAAGACTTCAAGGAAAAGTTTAAGAAATTGACAAATCAGGAAGAGAAAAACACTAAGATAGCTAAAGATAGAAAAAGAAAAAGGTCCTTTTGTAGGTTTCCAGCAGAAGGTATGGCCCACATTAAAAATGTGTCTTCATGTTTCAAGATACAAATCAAAGATATGTGCCTTCCAACTTCCAAGGTCTGGACTAGAAGTGTATTAACCCACATTAAACCTAGCAAAAAATAACTCTCACGGGTGTGCTTTTAATTTCTGAATTTTAGTTCATTATAGATGTAGTCACATTGACAACCAAGAATAGCAATCACAAAAACGACAAGCAGAAAGAAGAAAAATATTCAGGCTACATTCATTGCTATTGTTCTTTTGGGGTTTTTTGGGTTTTTTTGTTTTGTTTTGTTTGTTTTATTTTTCCTACCAAAGAAACTTAACTTCTATATAAGAGCCCTTAACTACCAAACAGTATAAACTTTTTCTATTGGAATAACATAACTAATATTTTCAATATACTATCTTTAATATTAAATGTTTATTCATAATATGAACTTAATTAGATGTTATACATTTTATCTAGTTAATTAGTGAAATACAGAACTTGCAATTAAACAAAACATTTGTATAAGAAGTGAATCTTCTTCAGTGTACCAGCAACTCTTGTTATACTTAGGTATGATTTTATAAAACTATTTAACGTTTACCCCAAGTTAAGGCAGAATTCAGATTCCTCAGTTTTGTCTGACAGTAGTTCTTGTCCTCCTCTCCCATAATTGCAAAGATGCGATCACACTATCAGGTGTAGACCAAACAGAAATATATGTCTTATGTGCTTATTTCTGTTCATTGTCTTCACAGAATTCCATAACACAGAATAGGAAAGAAAGCTCATACCTTGTGAGTATAAGGAAGAAGAATATTGGTACAGACATTGCCAGCTGGAGGTGGTGCCAGTTTCTAAATGAAAAAGCCAGGCCTACCAATACCATGCTTCCAATACTAACAGCACAAGATACAATCACTGCCACCATGGCGAGGAATTTAGGTCTTGTCCATTCTAACACTGAAAGAAAAAGATATATTGACTTGAAAGGGATTTACAGGGTCAAAAACCAAAGTTTGAAAAAGGTCCCATTTCAAAAGCTTTGACTTACTGAGCAAGTTACTATTTATTACTATGGGTTCCACAGACATTCCTGCCAGGAATCGGAGTGAGCAGTAGATCAGGAAGGTGGGAGCAAAAGCTACACAGGTTTCAGTGATGGCCAATTGTAATACAGCACATATTAAAATGAACTTCCTCCCAAACCTGAGGAAAAGGGAGAAATTAGATTATGGGAACAATTCAGTTTGCTTGAAACTTCAAGACAGCAATAATTATAAATAATAAGGAATTATAAATAACAGAGTACATGAACTCAAAAGATTTTTTTCATTTTTATAAATAAATACATAAACAATATTTCTCTGTTTCTTACCAGTGAATTTATTAACTCATGCCATATGGTAAAATACTTTGCTGATATTATAACGTATCATAAAGATATCATACCATATACTGTGCTTAGCATATTTATTACTGATTTGTTGATATGACAAGGTACTAGTTAAAAGCTGCTTAATGGAAAAAAGACATAGTTTGATAGAGCAGCAACAGATACACAATAATAAAACATGGTAATTGTTCACTAGGTGCCATGAACATGAGATAGATAACTCATTCAGAGGGTTAACTAGTATCATATCAGACCTCAAATAGGTATTTACCACAATATATACTCAACAAACACAATTCCTCTAAGCTAACTCCACTGACAAATGTTCTGTGTCTGCCCAAAATAACTTCATTAGCTAAAGTACAAAGTATTCAAACACATGAACTTTTGGTGGACACATGAGCATAGTACAAAACACAGATAGTACTTGTAAAATTAGATACCTAAGCCAGAACTTAGAAGTTTAGTAATGTAGAGATCATGA